AATTTGACCAAGACTCTCGGCAGAGTAAAAATGAGTTCCATCTTTTGGCTGTTTTCTTAAGTTCAAATTATATTTCATGTCTTTACTGTAACATTTTGAAACTGCTACATCCATACCAATTTTATTTAACCTGCATTGTTGTTTTTCATTTTCTGATAAGTATAAGTGGATAATGAAACCCTGTAACTACATATAATAATGAAAACATGTCTTACCTTTCTGGTATGATCAGCCTTCTCAATGGCATCGATTAGTAAAACAAGTCCCTCTGTGTTATCCTGAACATTTGGAGAAAATCCTCCTTAGTCACCAACGTTAGAAGCATCTTGTTCATGCTCTGCCTTGATTATTCCCTTTAATGTATTGTTTTATAGCATATATAACCATATTAAACTGCAATCACATCGGTTGATCAATAGACTTATAAAAGGCAAGGTGCCAAATAGGAGATATCATTTGTGCCTGCATTGCATCACCAAGTGTTTCATTTGGCATATTCTGATGAGATAAGACAGACTATGGCACGCGTAAATTGTTGGAGAAGTCATGCTTCCAACATCAATAACCTGCATTACAGAGCAAAACCATCCGCAGTAAGGCACAGTTGCTCCAAAAGAGCGCATCAAGTGATAAATATGTTTCAAATAACCTACTTAAGAACCAAAAATATGATTAACCTGGATGTAGCAATCAATTGCATTTTTGAAGTCCTTCTGCCGAAAAGAGGCATCTCTTTTCTTCAAGTCCAATGTTTGCTGCATTTGGTTGGTACACATTTGGAACATAAGTTGCTCGATAGAAATATATGTAAATACATACATAAATTAGTGGCCAATACAAATAGACTATCTAAATGTAAAATTAAATAAAAAACATGCGGTAATAGATATGTGATAAGAGATCAAACATTTAAAATATAGGCAAAAACTTATACTATAACCAGAGGTCATGCAAAAAGACTTGATTACTAAAGTAATGTTGTGGCACTGATTCTTCTAATGTTCATCACCTTTAAAGAATAACTTCTTTGATTTCATGAAGAAGTACTTAAATTCGGTTAGTTCTCTGATAAAAATTGAAATACTGCTGTATTATGAACAAGTTCTTCATTAATGCAAACCATAATTTAATACTTGCAACATATTTTAATCAGCAGAGCAAGATATAATTACAACAAAATTAGTAATTTCATTCACTTTGATATTTCCATAACAAACAAATAACCACAACTTCAGCACCTTCATATTAATTACATATACAACAACCAGTACTGATTACTACAAATGAAAGCAATTATCACATTCACAGGTCAACATACAAATATGCAAAGAAGATTGTTGTTATTTCTTCTTCTGCAGAAAAAAATTTCTTTGTAAAGCGGCTAAATTTATACGCTTCTTACCTGACATGTCACCCTGTTTTCATCTAAACGAGTCAGTAGGAAAGTGTTTTGCTGGAATATTTGGAGCATTCTTCAAGCATATTAATGCACTGCAATAAAATTACACATGAACATTAACATTAGGAATTAGGTGTAACTTATATTTTACACATGAAGCTCCAAGCTAACTTTGTATTGCAAGGCTTTCCCAAAATTATAACTATATTTTTGTACTAAGCACCAAGCTAACTTTGTATTGCAAGTGCTTTGCTGGAATATATGGAGCATTCTTCAAGCATATTAATGCACTGCAATAAAATTACACATGAACATTAACATTAGGAATTAGGTGTAACTTCTATTTTACACATGAAGCTCCAAGCTAACTTTGTATTGCAAGGCTTTCCCAAAATTATAACTATATTTTTGTACTAAGCACCAAGCTAACTTTGTATTGCAAGTGTTTTGCTGGAATATCTAGAGCATTCTTCAAGCATATTAATGCACTGCAATATAATTACACATGAACATTAACATTAGGAATTAGGTGTAACTTCTATTTTACACATGAAGCTCCAAGCTAACTTTGTATTGCAAGGCTTTCCCAAAATTATAACTATATTTTTGTACTAAGCACCAAGCTAACTTTGTATTGCAAGGCTTTCCCAAAAGCCATACATCCCTATAGTAAATCCGAGCACAGAAACCTTAAAAGGGAAAGAAGATTATTCATCGTGTTGCATGATGTCAAAACAATTAAGCATAGACCGAGTTTAATTGAGGTGAAGATAAAATGTTCTATCTCGGGCGAAGAAACTATAATTGAACTACCTGGAGAATCTTCTTGCACTGCACTCGTGCAATTTCATAATATATCAGAAAATGAGATGAAAAGTGAAAATTAGATATATGTTACGAAAATTGAGAATGGAACAATGCAATGTGAGTACGCATACCCGATTATAAAGGGTTTCATCTCATTGTTTTGAAAGACTTGGTTCATCTCCACATGGTAATAAAAACCATTTGTAATGAAAACGATTAGCATACATGCAATTCACCGAAATTAAACCCTTCTACACTCCCACGCACGCTCGTCGCAAACGAAGAACCAACGTCAGGCACCGCAGCAACAACACAGACACTCGTTTCGATAGCTTCCTCCATTACCGCAATACCTCATTCCTCCAATCCCAAAACCGTTACATGCTCATCCATTTACAATCGACAATTCATTCTTCTGATATGGATCGCATGAATCATCGACGGAATCAACGGGATCGAGAGGTTTTTGATAAGTCTTTAGTCAAATAAGAGACCTAGTTTTTAGGATAGTTTGTTGAATTGATTTAGTCAAGTTTGTTTCCTTATTTTTAGCTAAAAGTGAGTTGTAGTTTGTTACTGCACGTTCATTTTGTTCCCTATTTATTTTACTGCACTTCACAATGAATAAACAAGTCATTCCCAGTACTGTTAGTTGTTTTCTATTGAATTCTTATTGCATCTAACAATCTGGTATCTAGAGCGTGACGTGAGAGAGATGGGTTCAGAAGCAAACTTTGTTTCAGCATCCATTCCAAAGTTCGACGGTGACTACGATCATTGGAGCATGGTCATGGAGAATCTTCTTCGATCCAAGGAGTACTGGGTTGTTGTCGAATCGGGGCTCCAACGAGTATGGATGGGATGACAGCAACGCAAAAACAGAACCTAGAGGAGATGAAGCTGAAGGATTTGAAAGCTAAGAATTACTTGTTTCAATCACTTGACAAGTCAATTCTGAAGACGATTACGCAGAAGGAGACATCCAAACAGCTCTGGGATTCTATGAAGATGAAGTGTCAAGGTAATGTTCTAGTGAAAAGAGCACAGCTCAATCGTCTACGCCGGGACTTTGAGGTTCTGGCAATGAAGCAGGGCGAATCGATAAATGATTACTTTGGTCGAGTAATGACGATTGCAAATGACATGAGGAATTATGGGGAAGATGTGAGTGATGTCAAAATCGTTGAGAAGATTTTGAGAACACTTACTGATAAATGGAACTACATTGTTTGTTCCATTGAGGAAGCCAAGGACATAGATCAACTCTCTGTGGATGCCTTGCAAAGTTCTCTGCTCGTTCATGAGCAAAAGTTCAAAGGAGATGGAGGAGAAGAACATGCTTTGAAAGTGACTCATGAAGAGGGCTATGGTGGAAGAGGACGAGGGAAAGTTGCTTTCAGAAGAGGCCGAGGACAAGGTAGAGGCAGGGGTCTCCTAAACTGGAGCAAAGATACGATTGAGTGTTATAAGTGTCATAAGCTTGGACACTTTCAATACGAGTGTCAAGCAAATTATGCAAATTTGGATGAATCCGAAGAGATGGTGCTAATGGCGTATACCGATACGCTTGGAGGTGATCGAGATGATGTATGGTTTATTGACTCTGGATGTAGCAACCACATGTGTGGTGATTCATCTCTCTTCTGTGATTTAGAAAAAGGGTTCAACAAGGTGGTAAGATTGGGGAATTATGCAAGCATGAATGTTGTTGGAAAGGGAAGTGTTCGACTGACTGTAAAAGGAGTGAATTACCTTGTAGGGGATGTGTATTACGTACCGGGGTTGAAAAATAATCTTCTCAGTGTTGGGCAGCTGCAAGAAAATGGTTTGGCTGTACTGATGCAGTCAAATATGTGCCGGATTTATCACCACACAAAGGGATTGATTTTCAAAACCACCATGGCTGCTAATCGAATGTTTGTGTTGCTATCAAACAGTCGATCATTCAAAAAGGAAAGAGATGAAGAGTGTCTCCAAGTAATCACTCAAGACGTGGCTCATTTATGGCATCGAAGATTCGGTCATCTCAGCTACAAAGGATTGAAGACTTTGCAAACAGAGGGCATGGTGAGAGGCTTGCCAAGTTTTTCCGAGGGTGAGATTAAGTGCAGCGATTGTTTGAAAGGGAAACAACATAGAGATGTAATCCCAAAGAAAAGTACATGGAGAGCATCATTAAAGTTGGAGCTCGTTCATGCTGATATTTGCGGCCCAATATCTCCAGTTTCAGAGGGCAGCAAGAGGTATTTTATTTGCTTCATTGATGACTATAGTAGGAAGGCATGGGTGTATTTTCTTGCTTTTAAGTCAGATGTATTCACTTACTTTAAGTTATTCAAAGCTCTTGTGGAAAAAGAAACTGGTTTGCCCATTAAATGTCTCAGAACAGATCGTGGGAGTGAATTCACATCAAATGAGTTCAAAGAATATTGTGAAAGGAATGGGATCAAGAAGCAATTAACTGCTGCATATACACCGCAGCAGAATGGAGTTGCTGAGCGGAAAAATAGAATCGTGATGAATATGGTGAGGAGCTTATTGGTTGAGAAGAATGTTCCAAGAAAACTTTGGGCAGAAGCAGTGAATTGGGCATTTTATGTTCTTAATAGATGTCTGACATCATCAGTGAAAAAAATGACGCCAGAAGAAGCTTGGTGTGGGGTGAAACCTTCAGTCGAGCACTTGAGAGTCTTTGGTTGTATAGCACATGCTCATGTACCGGATGCTCGGAGAACAAAGCTTGAGGATAAGAGCCATTGTTGTGTTCTTTTAGGGGTAAGCGAAGAATCAAAGGCATATCGCCTGTATAATCCTATCTCTAAGAGAATTATAATTAGTCGAGATGTCATCTTCGAAGAAGAACAATGGAAATGGGAGAGGAGCTCTGAAGATGACAGAAGGTTTGATCTGGAATGGGAAGATGGCAACGGTGAAGAGGTGGAGGATTTCGAGATGGTAGTGAAGAAGAAAATGTAGCTTCTTCGGCGAGGAACGAATCCAGTGATGGCAATGAAGAAGATGAAGCAACTTCTCCGATGACACCCCGAGTTAGAAGAGCACCAGCATATTTGAATGATTTTGTCTCTAGTGATGGTCTTTCAGATGAAGGGGAAGAGGTACAAACTCACTTAGCCTTGTTTGCTAGTGTTGTTCATTCTGATCCAATTTTGTTTGACGAAGCAGTAAAGGAGGAGAAATGGAGATAAGTCATGGATGCCGAAATGAGATCAATTGAGAATGAAACATGGGATCTTATTGAGCTTCCTAAAGGAGCTAAAAGAATAGGAGTCAAATGGGTGTACAAAACAAAGTTGAATGAGCTCGGAGAAGTGGATAAACACAAGGCTCGCTTGGTCGCAAAAGGGTATGCTCAGGAATACGGAGTTGATTATGAAGAAGTATATGCTCCCGTAGCTCGCATGGACACGGTTCGGATGATTTTAGCACTTGCAGCACAAAGAAGATGGTGTGTGTTTCAACTGGACGTGAAATCAGCTTTCCTTCACGGGAAGTTAATTGAGAACGTGTACGTGGAGCAGCCAAGAGGTTATGAAATAAAGAATGAGGAACATAAGGTGTATAAGCTCAACAAAGCTTTGTACGGACTCAAGTAGGCACCACGAGCATGGTTCAGCCGGATTGAATCATATTTTAGAAAGGAAGGTTTTGGGAAGGAGGACAGCGAGCAAACCTTGTTTACGAAAGTCAACAAACAAGGTAAACATTTAATCATTAGCTTGTATGTTGATGATTTAATTTATACCGGAGATGATGAGAATATGATGGTTGAATTCAAAGAGTCCATGATGAAGGAATTTGATATGACGGACTTGGGTAAGATGAAGTATTTTCTTGGTATTGAGGTAGTTCAATTTGATGGTGGTATATTCATCAGTCAGGCGAAGTATGTGATGGAAGTGTTGAGACGTTTTGGAATGGAGCATAGCAATTCTGTTGAAAATCCAATGGTTCCAGGATTCAAAATCTCCAAAGATGAAAATGGTATTGAGATGGATGGTTCAGTCTTCAAACAACTGATTGGGAGCATGATGTACTTGACCGCTACGAGACCGGATATAATGTATGCAGTAAGCTTATTAAGCAGGTATATGTCAAGGCCTACAGAACTTCATCATTCGGCATCCAAGAGAATTCTACGTTACTTGCAAGGTACAACAATGTTCGGCATTCTTTACAGAAGGGGGGGAAGTCATGAGTTGATTGGCTTTACTGACAGCGATTATGTCGGATCAGTAGAAGATAGAAGAAGCACCTCAGGCTATGTTTTTATGCTACGTAGAGTAGCTGTGACTTGGTATTCTCGAAAGCAACCAATCGTAACACTAAGCACAACCGAAGCTGAATTTATTGCAGTTGCAGGAAGTTGTTGTCAAGCAATATGGATGCAAAGGGTGCTAAAGAAGATTGGCTACATGGGCAGTGAGAGTACTGTCATCTTTTGTGACAATAGCTCAACAATTAAGTTGGCGAGAAATCCGGTGATGCACGGAAGGAGCAAGCACATTGATGTGCGCTACCATTTCTTACGAGAGCTAGTGAATGATGGAGTTGTGCAGCTTCAGTTCTGTGGTACAAGACAACAGATAGCCGACATTTTCACCAAACCGCTCAAATTGGAGCTATTTCGGGAGCTAAGAAGGAGGCTTGGAGTGTGTGAACTACCACATGTTAACTAGCTGCAAATACAGTCTAATTCAAGGGAGGGAATGATAAGTCTTTAGTCAAATAAGAGACCTAGTTTTTAGGATAGTTTGTTGAATTGATTTAGTCAAGTTTGTTTCCTTATTTTTAGCTAGAAGTGAGTTGTAGTTTGTTACTGCACGTTCATTTTGTTCCCTATTTATTTTACTGCATTTCACAATGAATAAACAAGTCATTCCCAATACTGTTAGTTGTTTTCTATTGAATTCTTATTGCATCTAACAGTTTCTTCTTCTTCTTGGATGCTCGGTGCTTACGTTTCTTGCGATGGGGGCAGTTGCTGGGTCCGATTTCGGCGAAAAACCTCGAAGGAGAGCTTTGTGTTGAGAATGAGATGGTGAAAGTGAGAATGAACGTTGAGAATCTAAAGAAAGGGGTTTTGATTTTTTGTTTACATGTGATTGGAGAATTAAGTTCGTGATTGATTCGTCTCACTCTTTTTGCTAATGTGTTTATATTAGGTTGTAGTATTATATTTACAAGATTAACTTTTTATTTACACACACTTAATTGTCTAATTAAGCCTTAATAAAAAAGATTGTGGTTTTTAAATGTGTTTATATTAATATTTTGAATTATAAAATTAAATAATTTGTTTAATCTCTTTAAATTTACATCTGTTTTAAATTTAGTGAAAGTAATTGAAATCTTAATATAGTAATATTTTTAATTTACATCTGTTTAAATTTAGTGAAAGTAATTGAAATCTTAATATAGTAATATTTTTAATTTACATCTGTTTTTAAAAAATATGATAATTATTATTATATTGTATTTTTTATTTACATACACTTTTAAAATATTGTGTAAATTTTAATACGATTAGTTTTTGATTTTTCTGTTCTTTATCATTCCGTAGAGTAATTGATTTTTCAAGTTAGCATAGATTTCAAGAAAAGCACCATAATCAAATGCATTGTTATTTGCTACTCTCTATTTGGACAATCACAAATAATATGTGATAATGTAAATTAATATTTTCTCCTTAAAAATTATTTTTTAGATTTATGGAAAATCTTATAGATACTCAATGAAATAATTTTTTATCTTATATAAACTCTCAGTCAACTAAATTCACTTAATCCAATGGTATCAAACATAAATTGAGTCTAGACCCTATATACATTTTTTCCATTCTCTTAACTAAAATTGTATTACATCTCTAAATATAAAACTCCATAAATTAAATTACATTAATTAAAAAAATTGGTCAGAACATTAAATTTATTCACCATTATATTAAACTTACTCACTATTTATACAATTTTATAAATTTATCAAAAATTAATATTTATAAAACGTATTTATTATTAATTACAGAAAAGATATAATATAATTAAAGTTATGTTTAATAATTAATACACTTTAAAAATTGAAGAAAAAAAATCTTAGGAAAAAAAACTCAATAAAACGGAGAATTTGACGATACACATGTACTACACAGTGTGCCTAAACAACCTATGCAATGTTTGACCATATATCATGTACCCACGTCATATTTCAAATGCCTCTAAAATTCAAAACACAATGTGATTGTTATTAATGAAAAATTAGAACAAAACAACATAAAAACACATATTTTGTTTCGCTATGATTACAGCATCTCTAAAACAAAATGGTAACACTACCACACAAACAACATAAAATAAAATTCTGTAGGACATTAATAGAGTACAGTGAAAGACAAGACTCAATAGTTTTTGCTGCACCAAACTCACATAATACTTCTTTGATTCCTAAATTTACTTCCAGTGTAGCACAACTATAATGAGGTTTTAGATTTATGTTTAGAATTTTGTGACCATGGTGCTATACCAATCCAGAAGCCAAGACCATGAAAAATTTGTAAGGAGAAGAGGAAAATGAGCGAGACACAACAACGAAAGATGTTGTCCGTATCTCTTTTGAAAAGGAGTGATTAGTCCCAATAAAAATGTCTTACATCATGAAAGAATTTCTTCTTCTGTTGATAGTTAAGGTCGGGGGTATGATATCAACAGCTAGGTAGTTTACAAAGTCAACATACCAAGGCATGTTGGTCACTACTAGGGCCTTTTCAATGTTCCACTCTACACAAGGGTCGGGGTCATCATTTTGAATGGTTTCAATTGTAGCTATAAGTTTATCATAGGTAAAGTCGTCATTTATAGGCACTAAGTCTGGTTTTAAAGAAGAGATTCGCAATTAGACAATATCTTTATACCTAACATAAATCGGACATCCACCGATTGAAGAAAAAAACACCTGAAGAACAGATTCTAATTATATTAGAATTTAAGATCAGTTCAGTCTTACTTACATGGAACATTTCTCAATCCGGTAATTGAACTACCTGGAGAATCTTCTTGCCCTGCACTCGTGCAATTTCATGATATATCAGAAAATGAGATGAAAAGTGAAAATTAGATATATGTTACAAAAATTGAGAATGGAACAATGAAATGTGAGTACGCATACCCGATTATAAAGGGTTTCATCTCATTGTTTTGAAAGACTTGGTTCATCTCATTGTTTTGAAAGACCTGGTTCATCCGAAATAGCATCTGTAATAAAAACAAACGATTAGCATACATGCAATTTACCGAAATTAAACCCTTCTACACTCCCACGCACGCTCGTCGCAAACCAAGAACCAACGTCAGGCACCGCAGCAACAACACAGACACTCGTTTCAATAGCTTCCTCCATTACCGCAATACCTCATTCCGCCAATCCCAAAAACGTTACATGCTCGTCCATTTACAATCGGCAATTCATTCTTCTGATATGAATCGCATGAATCATCGACGGAATCAACGGGATCGAGAGGTTTCTTCTTCTTCTTGGATGCTCGCCGCTTACGTTTCTTGCGATGGGGGGAGTTGCTGGGTCCGATTTCGGCGGAAAACCTCGAAGGAGAGCTTTGTGTTGACAATGAGATGGTGAAAGTGAGAATCTGTGTTGAGAATGAGATGGTGAATGTGAGAATTTGTGTTGAGAATGAGATGGGGAAAGTGAGAATGAACGTTGAGAATCTGAAGAAAGGGGTTTTGAATTTTTGTTTACATGTGATTGGAGAATTGAGTTTGTGATTCGTTTCACTCTTTTTGCTAATGTGTTTATATTAGGTTGTAGTATTATATTTACAAGATTAACTTTTTATTTACACACACTTAATTGTCTAATTAAGCCTTAATAAAAAAGAGTGGTTTTTAAATGTGTTCATATTAATATTTTGAATTATGAAATTAAATAATTTGTTTAATCTCTTTAAATTTACATTTGTTTTAAATTTAATGAAAGTAATTGAAATCTTAATATAGTAATATTTTTAATTTACATTTGTTTTTAAAAAATATGATGTAAATTATTATATTGTATTTTTTATTTACATATGTTTTTAAAATATTAAGTGTAAATTTTAATTCGATTAGTTTTTGATTTTTCTGTTCTTTATCACCCGTAGAGTAGTTGATTTTTCAAGTTATTTCAAGAAAAGCATCATAACCAAGTGCATTGTTATTTGTTACTCTCTATTTGGACAATCACAAATAATATGTGATAATGTAAATTAATATTTTCTCCTTAAGAATTATTTTTTAGATTTATGGAATATCTTATATATACTCGATGAAATAATTTTTTATCTTATATAAACTCTGAGTCAATTAAATTCACTAAATCCAATGCTATCAAACATAAATTGAGTCTAGACCCTATATACATTTTTTCCATTCTCTTAACTAAAATTGTATTACATCTTTAAATATAAAACTCCATAAATTAAATTACATTAACTAAAATTGTAAGACAAGACTCAATAGTTTTTGCTGCACCAAAGTCACATAGTCATACTTCTTTGATTCTTAAATTTACTTCTAGTGTAGCACAATTATAATGAGGTTTTAAATTTATGTTTAGAATTTAGTGACCATAGTGCTATACCAACACAGAAGCCAAGACCATGAAAAATTTGCAAGGAGAAGAGGAAAATGAGCTTCAGGGACACAACGTCGAAAGATGTTGTTTGTATCTCTTTTGAAAAGGAGTGGTTCGTCCCAATAAAAATGTCTTACATCATGAAAGAATTTTTTTTTTCTGTTGATAGTTAAGGTCGGGGGTATGATATCAACAGCTAGGTAGTTTACAAAGTCAACATACCAAGGCATGTTGGTCACTACTAGGGCCTTTTCAATGTTCCACTCTACACAAGGGTTGGGGTCATCATTTTGAATGGTTTCAATTGTAGTTATAAGTCTATCATAAGTAAAGTCGTCATTTATAGGCACTAAGTCTGGTTTTAATTATTCAAGCCTGGAAAGGTGGTCAGCAACTACATTTTATATGCCCTTCTTGTCTCGAATATCTAGGTCAAACTCTTGCATCAAAATGACCCATCAAAGTAACCTAGGTTTAGCATCCTTCTTGCTTAACAGGTATTGAATAGTTGTATGATATGTATAAACTATAATTTTGGCTCCGACTAGATAAGATCAAAATTTATCAATGGCAAAAACAACAGCGAGGAGTTCCTTTTCGATTATTGCATAGTTAAGTTGGGTAGAATCCAGGGTTCTACTGGTATAGTAAATTACATGTAATTTCTTGTCCTTTCTTTTCCCTAACACGGCACCAACAACGTAAACGCTAGCATCGCACATGATTTTGAAAGGTTTGTTCTAATTTGGGGGTTGCATAATAAGGTAGTCATCTGGGGGTTGCATAATATGATATACAAAGTTTCTAAATATGAAGATATTTAGGAAACTAATGATTGAAGGCATGTTTTCTTGAAGGTGATTTTGCAGACTCTGTGTAGCTTGACTGCTGCGACTTTGAAGCCTAACCCAGTTCAGAATAATGTTATATATTGACTGGTGTTTACCTAGTTTTAGGTAGAACTTACGTGTGTGGTTTTTTAGGGTTTTAGAATTCTTATTTATGAGCCTCTATAATATCATCTTGATAGAATGGTAGGACTGTTTAGGGTTGTAAGTTCTGTCAATCATCTATGAGCTTTTAAGCATTGGTTGTTTGTCTGTCAGATGCTCATAAGCTTTTAAGCATTGAGTATTTGTGTGTCAGTTCTCATAAATTTTTAAGCATTAAGGATTGTGTGTCTTGGAATAGTGACTTTCTTTTTTTGTTCTTTGTTGTGTTTAGAGTTACTCCAATCGCTGAGTGTGATTGAAGAGGGATTTAAGGATGGCCTCATACCTAGGTGTGTCTTAGGTAGAAGTTAAGCAAAGGGTTGTGATTAAGTGTGTAGATTGTAAAATGATATGTTTGTTGTATGGTCTACAAATTGATATTATCTAGTTAATTTCGTCCCTGGCTTGGTAGCCCCCAGAGTAGGAGAGTTTCTATGAACTAGGTAATATATATGTGTGTTATTTATGTTCAGCACTGTTTGTTTTTTTGTATATCCTGATGTTGTATGTTGAAGTCGGATTTGGTGTCTCGATATCTCTTAGGATATCTGAGATCTGACAACCAGAATTTCAATTGGCATCAGAGCAAGCATCATGCTCTGACTCTAGGTGAGATTCAGGGAAGTTACTTTCTGGTGAAATGGACAGGGATGGTGAATTTGTGGTTAAAATACCTATTATGGATGGTACTAACTATGACTGTTGGAAGCCTCGTCTAGAAATGTTCATAAAATCCTTGGGCAATAAGGATTGGAAAAATGTTATCGAAGGATGGGATCCACCAAAGGTTGTGGGTGCAGATGGAAAGGTTATTGATGTGCTGAAACCTAAAGAAGATTGGAATGATGATGATGAGTCATCATCTCAAGGAAACTCCAACGCGTTGAATGTCATATTCAATGGAGTTGATAAGATTGTGTTCAAGTTTATAAAGAGTTGTAAGCATGCTAAAGTTGCTTGGGAGACCTTAAGGAAGGTTCATGAAGGAAATCCTAAGGTAAAGTTGGCAAAACTTCAACTTCTCTCCACCAAATTTGAGAACTTGAAGATAAAGGAGGATGAAAGTATTCAGGACTTTCACATGACTGTTCTAGATATTACAAATGACTCAAAAGACCTGGGAGAAAAGATATCAGAAGATAAGTTGATCAAGAAGATTCTCATATCTCTTCCAAAGAGATTTGACATGAAGGTGATTTCTATTAAAGAGCATTATAAGAGTAGATGAACTTGTAAGTTGTCTTAAGACTTTTGTGCTTGCTATCAACGAAGGGTCTGAAAAGAGAAGAGTATAGCTTTTGCCTCTAATATTGAAGACTCGGGGGATAAAGGAAATATGAACTCAGGAGGAGTATCTGAGGATCTTGTACTACTGGGAAGACAGTTTAATAGGGTGTTGAGGAACTCCAGGTCAAATGCTAAGAACATGTCATTCGACATCAACAAAAACCAAGACCTGGGAAATAAGTCAAGATTTAAAGAGAAGCCAAACCAAGTTAAAGTGTCCAGTGCCATGAATGTGATGGATATGGACACATAAGAACTGAATGTGACACCTGTAATACGGTGGGAGAACTGACTTTTAGGTTTTGCATTTTATCGCAAATGTTGCGGATAGCAAGAGTCTCCACCGACTTTTCTTTTATCCAATAAAGGTAAGGGTGAAAAGAACATGAAAGACCTTTTGAGAATTTTCTAAGTAATGGGGTGAGTTATGAAAAGGGAAGGTGTTATCACCCTTTTCATCTATAGTTTTCTACGGGCTCTTAATCACTGGCTCACTTTTGAAATACTTTATATTTGTGTATGTTTGAAAATATTTTGAAAATGCCTAAGTGAGACAATTTTGTAATGATTCTCGTATCGTTGAGAATGTATATAAAATGTTTGTTTTGAAAATATTTGTGAAAAAAAGTGTTGTTTTGTGAAAAGATGTTTTGTTTTGAAAAGTTTGTGAGCAAGTGATTACGAGCGTTCTACCTACTCAAAAAAAGTATTTGTTCTTTTCCTCCTCCTTTAGATAGTGCTACCCTACCATTAGTTAGTAAGAAGCCCAATTGTTGGATGTGAGGGACAGGTGCGATCATCGTACAATCATAGAAGGCAACTTGTAGGATGCTTTAGAAATTTTCATAAGGGACTAAGATCGTTTACTGAAGGCAACATCGAAGGGTCATCGAGGGACTACGATCTTTTAACCGAGGGTCTTTGCTAAAGCATCCCATGTTCGAGGGACATAATTGTTTTTTATCCGAGGCAATAAGTGAGGGTCACCCTAGAGGTGTGCGTGTGCAAAATGATTGGTTTAGTTATGTTTATCTTGAAATTAGGGTTTTGCTATCGGTTGATTTTAATCTTACCATACAAACCCTAATTACTAACAGTAGCATAAAAGAATAAAAGCATAATGTAAAGAGCGGAATATAAATCTAAGACTATTACAAGGCTTTGGGGCAGTTACATAAGGATAAAGAGTGTGGGAAAGTAAACCTACAGCTATTACATATCGGAAGCAGATACATAATAAGATAAACGCGAGAAAAATAAACCTAAGCTATTTACATCGGCAGAAGCATCCTATAAAATGTATCTAGGAAAATAAAAAGGAAAGATAAAAATAGAAAAGAAAAGGTTTTTGGTGAGAATACAAGTAGATGAGAATCCATGAGTTTATTCGGTAAATATTGTGACAAATGAATTGAAGTTGAAAGCATGTTTTTTGTTATTTTATGGTTTATTATTTAAAATAGTTTATGAAGGAAATATGTACAAAAATCAAGAAAGCTTGTGAAAACATAGATGAGTTTGGATGTTTGAAACAAGTGTATGTATCACAATCACATTTGAAAGTCATGGAGCATAACTTTTAATTTTTGTACATGTTTCATGTTTTAATGTGAATTTGGTTGAGAAAAGTCCTAAGAAGGATTAAGCTATCATAAAATTTTTACTCAAGTGTCAAGATATCTTATGAGAATCAAGACCTATTGTTGTACCCCAAAATTTGCCCTCCCATATTCTTCAAGAAATTGCCAAGCCAAGTCATAAAACTCCCCCAAGGGTTGCACAGTCCAACTGTCTCCTATACAGTCAAAACTAGGGTTTGTGTTCTGACCAAGAAAAGGTAGTTTTCAAAGGCCCAATCAAGTCTCACATGCTTAC